CTATGATTCACATATTTTTAAAAGTCAAGACGCAACAATATAATCACTTTGAAATAGGAATGTTAACCAAAATTTGTTTCTACATATAAGCTGAGAAACACTTGGGCCGCGCGCGGGTGGCCTCAAGCCGTAATCCCCAGCACTTTGGGGAGGCCAGACGGGCGGATAAAAGGTCAGGAGATCGAGACCATCCTGGCTAACACGGTGAAACCCCTTTCTTCTACTAAAAAAAATACAAAAAATAGCCGGGGAGGTGGCGGGCGGCTGTAGTCCCACTACTGAGGCTGAGGCAGGAGAATGGCGTGAATCCGGGAGGCGAGCTTGCAGTGAGCTGAGATCCGGCACTGCAACTCCAGCCTGGGAGACAGAGGGAGACTTCAAAAAGAAAAAAAAAAAAAAAAAAAAAAAAAAAAAAGCTGAAAAACCACTAATTTCTATTTGTAGGAATATGTCACTAATGTCTTATCAATTAAAATCAGTCAATGTCTGGCTGAGGTGCAGGTGTGCTCACACCGTATTATCCCAGCACTTTGGGAGGATTGAGATAGGGCAGATACACTGTGCTCAGGAGTTGTCGAGACTCAGCAAATGGGCACACATTTGATGAACCCGTCTCTACTAAAAATCAAAATTAGCACGATGTGGGGCGTGTCCATGTAATTCCCAGCTAGTCAGGAGCCTGGAGGCCCAAGAATGTTCAACCAGGAGGGAAGGTTGCAATGAGCACGAGATCAGTACACTGATACTCCAGCCTGGGTGAAGGAGCAAAGACTCTGTCTCAAAAAAAAAAAAAGAAAAAAAGAAATCAGTCAAGTCAACCGAATGTAGCCAACCAAACCCAGGAAAACTCTCAATCCTTATGGAAAATTCTCTTCCACTATATAACTAGACCTCTAAAGGGCTCGCAGTCTCACAAAATGGAAAGCCGGAAAAATTAACTATGCGACCCAAGCCTGAACAGGTTAAAGATGAACCAATCAAACTCTGCAAATAAACAATATGTAGGCAATATTCACATTTCTAAGTTACTAGACACAGATGCAGTGGAAACATACAAATGAGGAGGTGGAATTTGTGATTTTTTATTTAATAGCACCAGAGTAAGCTTAGTTTACACATTGCCAAAAAAGAGCCTACCTATCCCAACAGAATGACGTAGAGAACATACACCCAAGTAGCACAAGCTCCTTATTAGGCATTAGAATTAAAGCATAAAGATCAAATTTATATGTGACAGTGTAATTATACTTAGCTAGTAAAATTAATAGTTATAGAAGTACATGTGTGGAGTGAAACCACATTTGCACTATAATGCATATTTATTAGATTATCGAGAATGGATTAGAAACAACCAATAATTGTTAAACAGATGGACACGGAATGATAAGAAGAGAAATGATACTTATTTACAGACTAATACCGCATACATTATTGATACAATAACAATATACAAAATGTTAAAATCAATATTTATTTGCAGTTTTGCGTTCTCTGCCCAGCCACAGCCCCCAGTAAGAATACTGATTGTCTTCTCTCCATTCTAAAGTGAGATGCTAGACCATAACAAAATGAAATTAGACAAGGAATAGACAAAATTCAGTTTGGGAATCACTTGGGTACCACCTTCAGAATGATAATAGAGTTGCAGAAACAGAAAGGGGTGGAAAATTCTAAGAATAAAAAAGTTTATAGTGAGGTTCTATGGCTGAGGCAGGAGAATGGCGTGAACCCGGGAGGCAGAGGTTGCAGTGAGCCAAGATCACGCCACTGCACTCCAGCATGGGTGACAGAGCGAAACTCCGTCTCAAAAATAAATAAAATAAAATAAAATAAAATATTTGATTATTTTTAGTCTAAACTTTTTAAATTTTTATTTTTGTTTATGTTTTGTTATGTACATAATCTTTTAGTATAGCAGCACATATAAACAAATAAAACATACATTATGAATCCATGTTTAAAATTTTTTACTGTTAGAGGTACGTACTGAAAAGTTGAGGACCACTGCTTTAAAGAAATTTCCATTTGGAGAGCCTACGATTCACATATTTTTAAAAGTCAAAGACAATAATACATCTTTGAAATAGGAATGTTAATCAAAATTTTGTTTCCACATATAAGCTGAAAACAGTAATTTCTATTTGTAGTTGAACATGTCACTAATGTCTTAGATTAAATCAGTCAATTGGCTGGGTGCGGTGGCTCACACCTGTAATCCCAGCACTTTGGGAGGTTTTGAAGGTGCAGATCACGTTCTGTCGACTCAGCGAGTGTTGAGATCTCCAGTGAGCCAAACGGCTGGAAATGAAACTCAACTCCCGCTCTCCACTCAAAAATCAACAAAAATTAAAGCCCGGCGTGTGGGTGGCCAGGTGCCCTGTAATCCCAGCTCAGTCAGGAAGCTGAGGACAAGAACCCCTCCAATGCCCACGGAGTGGAAGGCTCGCAACTGAGCGCCCGAGATCACGTCACTGTACTCCAGCCTTGGGTGACAGAGCAAGACTCTGTCTCAAAAAAAAAAAAAAAAAAATCATCAATCAACCAATTAGCCAGCCACACCCAGCACCGTCCAATTTATGCGAAATTCTCTTTCATCTAACTAGACTCTAAAGGGCTCAGTCTCCACAAATGTCTACCGAAAAATAATCTATTCACCTACTGAACTTAAAATGAAATCAACTCTGCAGAAACAATATTGTAACTGACAAATATTCACTTGTCTAAGTTACTGACATCATGCAGTGGAAACAACAAATTGAGTGAATTTGTGATTTTCCCACCTATAAGTTTATTACCATTGCAAAAAGGCCTCCATAAATCCCAACAGATGATTAACTCTTCATCCCAAGTAGCACAAGCTCTCTTATTAGGTTAGAATTAAAGCATGATCATTTTGTGATGGTTATTTTACTTCTAGTAAAATTAATGTTTAGTACACGTGGTGAACCACAATTTGCCTTTGGCTATTTATGATTTCGAATGGTAGAAAATACCAATTATTGTTAAACACAGATGACACTGGGAATGATGAGAGAAAAATGATGCTTATTTTACAGCTGATTACCGCAAATAACAATTATTGTCATAACAATATAACAAAATGTTAAATCAATATTTTTCAGTTTTGGTTTCTGCCCAGGCCCAGGCCCAGTAGATACTGATTCTTCTCTCATTCTAAAGTGAGATGCTAGACCACTACAAATGGAATTGCAAAGGAAATAGACAAAATTCAGTTTGGAATCCCTTGGGTACCACCTTCAGCTTATAAAATGTGTTGCAGAAACCAAGAAAGGGTTGGAAATTAGAAGATAATTTATAGTGAGTGTTTCTATTGTGTATCATATGCCCCTCCCCCATGAAGGGGATACTCTTCCTTCTTCAAGCCCAAGGAAATGGCTCCACTAGGGCCCACAGTAAACTGATGTCAGGACGATACCTGAGAAATTTAAAGTAGGGAGGACAGGCTAGTTAGCTGTTCTGATAGCAGAACAAGATGGAGTCTATACAGGATGGACCTGACACTTGTTAGAGCAAAGAACATGAAGACTTCCGTGAACCAATAGGGAATGAGAAAAAGATCTAGCATGGTATTGTTTCAGATCATGACCAAGAGACCTCCTGGAGGGGTGGGGGAAATCTCAGCAAATAGAGGCTGGATGTGTTCCCTTGGATGCCAGAGAAATGTAATTGTCTGCATCAAAGACTGCTATGAGCAATTCCTAATGATAAGGCGGGGTTCTCCAAAGGACCTCCAAAAACACTCCACAAGACAGTCAGGTGTTTGAAACACCTGCACCAATGCTAGATTGCTAGAGCAGACAGGCTTTTGCTGGCTCTTAACTCCTCATCTTCCTTGGCTTCACTTTGAGGAACTGAAAGGAAGGAAACAGAGGAAATAGCACACTGATCCCTCTTTCCCCATAGAGGAGGCCAGCTTTAATCAGGCATAAGCTGGAAGGGAAAGGTGTTAACCTGCAGTAAATTTCTTAAGTTTTTTTTTAATCACTATTATTATTATCATATTTTTGTTACATGTTATTTTCTGAGACTCTTTGAGGTAGTAAAATAAGCAGAGGGCATTTTGTATTTTTCTGAGTTAGTAGAGAAGCTACAGTGTCCATTGTATTTTCATCCAGGGATAAAAAGAACAAGCCCCAAGAACAGATTTGAAGGGCAGTAGGGGGAAAATACGAAATTATTTTCTATTGTGCATTACAAATGCTGCTTGTACAGCCTAATGATTTTGATAATAATAGCTAAAAGTTATCAAATGCTTATTATATTCCAGACAATGTCTGCTTTACATGTATTAAATATTTTATCTTCACAACAACTCTATAAGATTAGTATAGTAATTTTCTAGTGAGAAATTTAGAAGCAGAGAGTGGGTAAGTAAATTGCTCTAGGTTGTATGACTAGTAAGTGACAAAGCCACTCATGTGGCTATTTCAAACAAATAAGAGTGCAATCTCTTTTTGCAAATTCTTTTTTTTTTCTGTCAAACATCCAAAATACTGGACATATAAAATATAAATGATGGCCATATAAATTTCAATGCATTAACACTTTCAGAGACACATGAGGTTATATGTGATTTGCTGTGCTTATCAAGAATAAAAAGATAAAGCATTTGCTATGCTTTATCAAGAGACCAAGGTGGGCGGATCACTTGAGCTCAGGAGTTTGAGACCCGCCTGGTCACCATGGAGAAACCCATCTCTAGTAAAAATACAAAATTAGCCGGGCTTGGTGGCGTGTGCTTGTAGTTTCAGCTACTTGGTGGCTGAGGCAGGAGAATCGCTTGAACCTGGGAGGCAGAGGCTACAGTGAACTTAGATTGTCCCACACTCCAGCTGGGCCACAGAGTGAGACCCTGTCTCAAAAAAAAAAAAAAAAGAAAGAAAGAAAAAGAATGCTTTATCAACAATAAAACAATGAATCACCATAGTACATGGCTTTTTCTGAATACATATTTCTCCTTTTTAAATCTCTTTTTATAGGGTGTGGACAACCACTACAAAATAAGGTGCAGCTGAAGGGCTGTGACCTTCTCACTCTAAAAAACTTTACTGGAGAAGAAATTAAGTATATGCTATGGCTATCAGCAGATCTGAAATTTAGGATAAAACAGAAAGGAGAGGTATGTAACATTTTCTTTTTACCTTCCATTACTATCAGTCCGCCTTTTTAAAGCAGCCTTCCAAAAAAGAGGAAAAAGAAAATACATTAAAATTCTTAAACAGTAGCTAAGTAATGAACCCTTACAGTCAAGGTATTGATTATCATGGAGCATACAGGCATACAAAAGAGCATAAAAATCAGTTATTGAATGACAAGTCATTGCACTTTTTTCATGTGGAATGCTGAAATTCATTATTAACTGGATCGAACCTAAGAAATCATTTGTCTGAAAAGATTTTATTTTATTTTATTTTATTTTATTTTATTATTTATTTATTGAGATGGAGTCTTGCTCTGTTGCCCAGGTTGGAGTGCATTGGCCCGATTTGGCTAACTACAACTTCTGCCTCCCGGTTCAAGCAATTCTCCTGCCTCAGCCTCCCAAGTAGCTGGGATTACAGGTGCACACCACCCTGCCCGGCTAATTTTTGTATTTTTAGTAGAGACGGAGTTTCACCATGTTGGCCAGGCTGGTCTCCAAACTCTTGACCTCAGGTGATCTGTCAAGATTTTTATTTTTATACCCTTTTCTTTTCTCTGTGTATTTTCTATCAAGTCAAAATTAAGAGGGGTGCAGTGGCTCATGCCTGCAATCCCAACACTTTGGGAGGCCTAGGCAGGTGGATCACCTGAGGTCGGGGGTTCGAGACCAGCCGGACCAACATGGAGAAACCCGTCTCTACTAAAAATACAAATTAGCCAGGCGTGGTGGCAATGCCTGTAATCCAGCTATTAGGGAGGCTGAGGCAGGAGAATCGCTTGAACCTGGGAGGGCGGAAGTTGCAGTGAGCCAAAATCATGCCATTGCACTCCAGCCTGGGCAATAAGAGTGAAACTCCATCTCAAAAAAAAAAAAAAAAGAAGAAAGAAGAGAAGAAAGTGATCCTTTTTTCCTAGTGACAAATTTTAATTTGGATGCATATCAGAATAGAATCATTAGGATATGTCAAAAAATTCCAATGATGTGACAGCGTTTTAAAAAGCATTTATTTAGCAAGAAACAATTATGGTATCCAGGTAAGAAGAAGAGATGGCATATGGTTCTTAGCTTATAAGCTTAATTCTGCATTTGAGCAATTTATCTTTGAAACACAATTAATACAGTAGCTTCATTTAGACTGCTTAATTGTGAAAGCATTTTCATATTCAAGCTTGTTCAACTTTTTAAAGAGTTGGTTTCAGGTTGAGAAAGTTGGACACGGCTTTGATTTTATTTAGTTGGCTGGCTTTCCAAGCTCCTAAGAGAAACTGTGGACAGGAGTGACTGCAACTGCTATGGGTTGATGTTCCTATAAAACACCTGAAATAAGGAGAAAAGGTCTCCCCAGGCCAGGCCTATATTCTTGACACTTTGTGGATGAGGAGAGTTAGCTGGCGGAATCTATTTGTTCCAGAACTCATTCTATCGGGAAGCCCTTCTACAGAAGAGGAAGGAGGAAGTGCCCGCCCCACATTTCAAATCTCCAGATTGTTTTCAAATAACTTCCAGAAGCAAGTCTTTGTATTCCATTAGGATGCATGATGAATGTGTAGCTAAAACACTAGGGCTTCATCATTGATCTAGAGTGGGAAGTCATAGTGCCCCCATGTTGTAACAGAGTAGCATTTTCCCAGCTGAGAAAACCTCCAAACCAAACCCGATCGAGTCATGAAAACTGAATGGGGATTTCAATGGCGTTAAGTAAGGAGGTGGTTTCCAGTATGAAAATTAAACATACTTTGGGAAAAAATTCACATGTTGAACTCCGACATTAATACTGCTTTCTAATTACATGTATAGCTGTGGGGAATTACTGTTCTCTTCCCCCATTTGTATAGTATGTTAAAAAACATTTATATTCACTTTTTTTTGAGATGGAATATTGCTCTGTGCCCAGGCTGGAGTGCAGTGGCAACCTTGGTCACTGCAACTTCACACCTCCCAGGTTCAAGCAATTCTCCTGCCCTCAGCCTCC